ATTAAACGGCCCCGAAAACGTTTTAAAAACGTGGCAGACTATGCAACATTCCACAATTTGAGGTGCCTCTGGTTCAAACTGAACAACAACTGGGTTCTCTCCAAGCACTACATAGGGCTCCTCGGCCACTTTTGGAGCCATCTGTATAAATGTCTTTGACTCCTGCCAAGGGCTTGGTGGAGGTAATTTTGGGAAAAATAACTGGGTGATGGGTTACAAACTGTAGTAAGGGACTTTTAGGATAATGGTTATCTGTTTTTCCAGAAAAGCTACAAAGAAGAACAGCCCAATCATCTACTGTGGCCCCTAGAACTTGAATTTGGGAAGGAGTGTATGGTACAAGCAGAACATGTGGGAAAATGCCAAAATGCAATATGGCTGACTTAAGTCCTTGTAATGCTAAATTCGCCACAGCAGTAGGGTAGTGCTCAACTGTTTTTTGTGGGGAAGCATGTGCATGAATCCAGAGTAACGGGCCCTTCTGCCATAAAACAGCAGTGGGTTGCAAGGCGGTAGGAAGAACACAAAGGTATAATGGTTCGGTGGACACTATGCATGTCAGATGCGCCGTTTCAATGGCCTTTTCTATCTTATTGATCACTTCCCATGCTTCTGGGGTTAAAATGCGCGGAGACATAACGCTGGTGTCTCCTTCTAGAATGGCAAATAATGGTTTAAGCTAGGCCGTAGTTATAGGCAAATATGGCCTAAGCCAATTAATATCTCCTAGCAACTTCTGAAAATCATTTAGAGTCTCCAATCAACCTGTCCTGATCTGAATCTTTTGCGGCCGAATCTGAGTTGTTGAAAGAAGGGCTCCCAAAAACTTCCCCACTTTGTCCCTCTGTACCTTTTCGGGGGCTATAACTAGGCCTTTGTTCTCTAGATCCTTAACGATCTGTACATAAACTTCTTCCAGCAATAGCGACATTGGTGCAGCTATTAATATGTCATCCATATAATGACAAACCCAGATGTTGGGATACTTCAGGCATTCTGGATTAAGAGCCTGTCCAACAAAGAGCTGACACATAGTGGGACTGCTGGCTATCCCCTGTGGCAAGATGCACCACTGAAATTGTGCATCTGGTTGTTCATGATTGACAGAGGGCAATGTAAAGGCAAAACGGCAACAGTCTTCCTTTGCCAAGGGTATTGAGAAAAAACAGTCCCTAATGTCAAGTATGATTACTGGTCAATCAGCAGGGATACTAGAAAGGATTGGTAAGCCCCATTGTACTGGGCCCATAACTGCATTTGTTGATTAACCGCCCTAAGGTCATGCAACAACCTCCACTTGCCTGATCTCTTTTTTATTACAAATATGGGCGTATTCCAAGGTGATTGAGAGGGTTCAAGGTGACCTGTAGCTAGCTGTTCTTGGACTAATTCCTGGGCAGCAAGCAGTTTTTCCTGGGAGAGGGGCCACTGGGGGATCCAGACCGGGGTGGAGGTAGTCCAAGGTATAGGAATTCCATCCCCAGTGGCCCCTACGAAAAACCCAGCCCTCTACGATCTATGTTTCCTTGTGCCTCTATAGGTTCTGTCATGCCTTGGAGACATTTTCCAAGCCCTTTTCCTGGTACAAATCCTGAACTCATCATAATATTTTTGCTAGGCAAAGAATATTCAGTAGACAGTTTCATGTCCATTTGGCTTAACACGTCTCTTCCCCAGAGGGTAATGGGAAGATTCACCACAAAGGGTTGGAATCTCCCTTTTTGTCCCTCACTAAAGGACCAGGTTAATTCCTTTGCACTTATTTCTGGAGCCTGGGCATAGCCCAAGACTAGTAATGTTTGGGAGGATGACTGCAGTGGCCAGCGTTTAGGCCAAAAGCCTTTGGCTTTGATGCTACGGTCGGCTCCAGTATCCAACAGTCCAGAAAATGTCCTCCCTTCTATCTCTAAATCTATTATCAGACGATTGTCAATTGTTAATGAAAGACATGCCAGATCAACTCCGGTGGAGCCAAGGCCCCTGTCACCTCTATACTTATCCTTAGTGGGGAAGCTAGCATGCAGACTGGGTAAAATTATTAATTGGGCTATCCGATCCCCTGAAGAGATAGCTGTTATACCTCGAGGGGAAGCACACAATATTTTTACAACTCCTTCATAATCAGGATCTATGACTCCTGGAGTAATGACCAATCCCTTCAAGGCAGACGAGGATCTGCCAAGAAGCAGACCCACCGTGCCCTTGGGTAATGGGCCTTTAAAATCTGACTCTACTGGCTGTACTCCCATTTGAGGTGTTAATACCACTCTGGAGGTGGCACAGATGTCCAGCCCTGCAGAGCCTGAGGTTGCTCTCCTGGCTGTGACGGGGGGTGGTGGTGAAATGATGGGTTCTGCAGTGCCCCATATATTCGTGGGCCCTGGGGATGGGGGCCCCTGTTCCCGTTTTTTGACTCTTGAGGTGTTGTAATGGGCTGCCCATGTATATCTTTTACCGACTGGCACTCATTTGCCCAATGTTTCCCTTTCTTACACCTAGGGCAAACATCCGGCTTGCGGTTTCCTGTTTTGCTCTCCCCTCCATTGTTTGGACATTGTTTCTTATAATGTCCTTCCTGCCCACACCAAAAACATCCGCCACGCCCTTTACCAACTGTTTTTGCAGCTGCCAACATGGCTGCTGCTAACCCTGAATTGGACAAGGGCCCTCCAACTTCCCTGCATGCTTTCATCCATGCCTGCAAGCCTTTTGCCTTCCACGGGGCTATGGCACGCCTGCAGTCCTTAGTACATTGCTCGTACACTAATTGCTCTACGAGGGGCATGGTGTGGTCCATGTCCCCAAACGTGCGGCCTACAGCCTCCATCATATGCGCCATGAAGTCCGAGAATGGTTCTGTGGCGCCTTGGATTATTTTTGTAAGATTACCGGCCACTTCTCCTTTGTTGGGGATGGCTTTCCATGCCCGTGTGGCTATTGTGTTAATTTGTGTATAGACTTCTACTTGGAGAGTTGTCTGATTATTAAGCCACTGCCCCTGTCCCAGTAACATGTCTGCTGTCCAGAACTGATTCCTATTCATCACATTTGTTCTGGCCTGGGAATAGGTGAAGTCAGTATAAATTGATTTAAACTCCAAATACTGCCCTAAGGTTAAACATGCTTTGGCCACACCAAACCAATCTGAAGGAGTCATGGCATTTTGGGCAAGATGCTCCATGAGGGCCAGGGTAAAACTAGCACTCACCCCATACGTCCTGACCGACTCGGCCAGATCCTTCAGTTGCTTATATCCTACTGGCTCATGATATCTATTTTGCGTAGCGGGGTCTTCAAATACTGGAAATGCACTGGCCAGCCGACTCCATGTGCTGGGTTTTATAAAAAATGCACCTGAGGCAACTGGCGCAGATGGGATCCCTGTCAGCTGCCCCTTTCGCGGGCAATATGGAGGTGGATTGGAGTTGTCCGGACTATACCATCCCCGCGCATACTCCGCGGCAACTTCTTCTAATTCTTCCTCCTCTTCTAAATCCAACTCCTCCTCAGAGGTATCTGAGAGAGTCAGGTGTACAAACTCATCCAGTACTGGGTACAGCCCAGAGGGTTTTTGTCCCATTTTCCCATGGTCTGTCTTTTCTTTATTTCCTTTAGAGCTCTTTTTACTATCCCTAGGTTTCCTTTCTTTTAGTTCTCCCTCCTTTTTGCTATCTGATTCTGACATGCTATCCTGGTGGGCAGAGAGAGCTCTGTGACTCTCGCTGACAATTTCAATGCACGTGCCATCTTTAAGGCAAGAGTGTATCAACCGCCACAGGGGCTTTGTTCCTGGCCGTAATTTCCCCTCAGCTTTAGCCTTTTCGAGATCTCGTCCTAGCTTTACCCAACAGGGGAGATTGACGTCCCCTGTCACCCCGAACCATGGAGCCGCCTGGTCAATGTCCTCCAAGAATCCCCTTATAGAGCGATCAGAGATCTTTAGACCTCGCTGTTTCAACAATCGCTGAAGCGGGCGGAGAAAACTCTCTGCGACTCGCGGGTTTGAAGTGTCATTCCCCATGATGTTAAGACGATCACATCTACTACCCACAATAGGACTATTCCTCCCACCAGCACATCACTGTTACCTTAGGAGAACTTACCGGTACCGCTGCTCCGTACGCCTAAGTTCTGAATCCTTCCCGATGAGCTGGGGGTCCTTGCACGGTGACCAGATGTCAACTTCCCGGGTGTCGGCACCACTTGTGGCACGCCGTGTCCGCCAGCAGAAGAGATGACCACAACAGGATTCTTCTCAGAATGTACTTTTATTGGGAGCGCACAAACTTGAGGATGGCGAAGGACCCCGGACCCTGGCGCGTACGGCTTATAAGCCATGCAGAACAAAGCCTGAGATGTGTCCGAGTCTGAATGGCTCTGGCTGCTCCTGATCTTACGCATCAGCTCACGATTGGTGGCTAGATCACGCCATTCGGGAAAGCGCGCCAAGCGCCTCGTGGTGAGGCCAAAGCTGCTTGAGAGGCAGGAAATGACAGCAGGGTTGTGGCGCCTTGGCGCCCTACACTTCACCATTTGAGAATTGCTCCACCTCATATCTTGAGTGGTTTAAGTTTGGATGTATTATAAAGACAGCTATTTGTTAACATCACTTTGGTACCTTCCTTTGATTTGAATAAAAATACAAGTGGATCCTGGGCTTAGCAGAAGTTGTACTTGATATCTAATAGGAGAATATGAATTCAGTGAAGATTTTCATTACTCTTTCTCCTTTTACTCTGTAAGTTATGATTTCATTCCGAACTCCACTATATGAGATGCTAAGTATCCCTATTATTCCAAACTGGCTAATGTCCTTTTTCTATGAATTTGTAATTCATATGAAGCAAATCACCTTGAGTCAAATCAGAAGGTAAAATGTTGTGTTACTGTCAGAATGCTCATGATTTGATCATGTGTCAGGCTGTGAATATGTCATTTGAGCCCTTTCTCTAAATGACTGCCATCGACTTTTCTCTTTCTGTTTCAAGACCCAAGTGGATTTTATTCAGCTGATGATGACTCCAAAGGCAAAGAGTTCCTGGAAGGTAACCCGTGGTGCTTCACGATGTATGGATCAAGAAGCCCAGAGAACTACCACAACAGGTGGTTAAACAATGGCCATCCTCCCTGGACTCCACACATCTCCTGACAGGGCTGCAGCAGCATGTGGGAACAGTTCAGCTGTGAAACCAGACAAGGACATTAAGAAAGAAAAGAAGGGCCTGCTGAAGCTCATCTCTGGTGCCTCCACCAAATGTGAGCACCCCTGCCAGCCTCACCTAGTTTGGACATGGAGCTGGGTGCAGGTCAGGTGACCTGCAGGAAGCACTGGGTCCTGAGTTGTTGCTAGTAGGTAATCACAGCTGGTCTGGCTCCTACCCCACAGATGGAGATGGTCCAGTGGTCTCAGGGACAGTAGCCACAGCCCAAGATGTTTTCATAGCAAGGCAAGCTCCCTGGACTCCTCAGTGCCCACTGCTCCAGCACCTCAGTGGGACTGCTCCTCCCTGGTTCCTGTCATGCTTGAGGCCAGACCTGTTAACTGTGAAAGGCACAGGGTGGTGCTTTCCTATCCTCCTCAGAGTGAGGCAGAGCTTGAACTTGAAGAATATATTGTGTTCTTTCATAAAAATGAGAGTATGGTGGTTCAAAGGCACATTACAAAGAATTGGAAAGATCGGCCTTTTGGAGGGGAGCTTTGTGAAAATATACGAGAAGATTCCATGTCAAGAAAGGGTAACATCACATCACGTGAGTAAAGAGCACAGAGGAGGGTCATAGTAAGAGTACAGATGTGGAATTCCAGATCTCCAGGAGCTGAGCAGAGGTGGGCACCTGACTCCAGAACCCGGGCCTGGCTACCCCTGTGGGCAGAGTGAAAGAGGTACCTTGTGTGGTTTCTGTCCCTCTGGATTCTGATGTGTGAAGTGTGCCTTGTACTGTTTAATGAACTACACAGAGAAATGCCTATATTATGAAGATGTATAACTAAAACGGACAATTGTTTACAAGGCTTAACTGATTTATTTGCCTTTTTAAAACTTAAACTTTCTTGTAATTGCAAATTCTTTGAATTTTGATTTTTAAAAATTACTAATTTATGAAATGATGGCTAAGAATAAGTTAGATTTTTCTCCTGTTGACGTGAAGAGATTCTTTTTGGAATAGTCTGTTCCTTCTCCTCTTCTTGCTGCCCTCCTCCCCTGGTTATATTTTGCTTCTTTTAGGCAAAAATGCCAGTTTCCCAAACAGACAACTGAATCGGTACCAACAGGGATCTGGGGCAGGGAGACAGTGGCTCCTGAAGAGAGGAGTCAGTGGGCCCCATCTTTCTGTTTTGATCAGAAATCCGCCCAAAGACCTAATCCTCGATTTTACATTGTGGATGTTTCATTTTTCCTAGAATGAAGTGGGTAAAGTAAGAAGAAAAATTAAGCACAGCCATTGACTAAAAATACATCATTGCTAACACAAGCAGCTCACTGCTTTGGTTGAAAAGGAAGAGAAATTGAAGTTGTAGCTGCTGTGTGTGAATGACTTGGAAACACAATTCCCATTTTACCCTCAAGTGATCTGCCTGCTCACAACACAGTAAAAATTGTAGAGACAGTGGGGGTAAGAGATGCAGTCGTATTGAAGTCAAAGGCTGTAAAGAACAAGAGAAAGTTTCCATTCATCCACTGTGAGTCCCCTGCCATCTTGCATGTGTTACTGGATTTACACAGTGATGTGGACGGTGCACGGTGTGTATATGCCATTGCCATTATTACTCAGAATTGATAGATACAGGAGGTTTAAACAATAAACAGCATTCTCTTCTCTACTCCACCACCATTACTGACCAAGATATCCTGAGTGTGCTTGCTCTGTCTCTGAAGCCATGTATTAGCCAGCACACAAGTCGTTAGTTAAAAGGCCGACTGATGTGCCAGGCAAGTTTATCCAGGAGACCACTGGCTTCTGTGACTGTGGTGAAGCTCTTCAGGACTTGCTGGGAGTGTCTGTACCCACACCTTGCAAATGCTGCAGGGTCGAACCAAGTCCATCTCTTTATAGAAATCCTGTGACATCTGGTGGTGTCTTCTTCCAGTTTCATCTCAACCAAGGGTCTGGGTAGTCCTGGAAACAGCTGGAGGTAGACATCCTGGGAGTGAATGAGACTGTTCCACGGTTCTCTTGTGGGTAAGTTAAGTAAGAACGTCAACATACCTTTTCCTTTTCTGGGAAATTGTCACATGAATTGAAGAATCAAGTAAAGGCAAGAGATTCCATTGTCTTCAAAACCTGTGTAATGTGATTGGAAGAGGAATCATTCCTGTTAATCATTTTTGATATATAATCAGCATGTATTACATTCCTTTGTGTTGAATTAAAAGATACTTTACTAGGATATCCAGATAACATAATAAGGTTTGGAGACATGAACTTTATTTAGAAAAACAGCTGACATCAGCTTTCATCTGAGTGAGTTGACACCAACATGTCATTATATTCTTTACTTTCACAAATTTGTGTATTTTATAGAAATTTTAGAAGAGCAAAAAGACTACTACCTGTTAACAAATTTTTTACCTGTCCTTCCTCCTTATTTTCAGCTATGTGATTGACATATATCTGGTAACAGTTTTCTGGTATAAGTTTGGCTAAAATTTCATCTGTTGGTAGATAATTAGATGACAGAATGTGTGGGCTCTCTCTTGGATATTTTTGAAGACAGTAGATAGGTGTTGAAAAAAGGGCTTGTTACACAGTGGTGGTAATGATGGAATTAGAATTTACCATTTCTTTTATGTTAATTTTGAGGACTGGCTGAAAGGTTTCATTATTAAAATTTGATTTTCAACCCATAAAAGAGCCCAGAAAAAAGAGATTGTCAGGAGATATGTATGGAGTGGGCTTAAAGAATGGAAGCATTTCTGCCAAATTCCAGAAAGATGTGCACATGGATATAACTTTGGTGTCTACTGGAGCTTTCTAGATGTCCACTGGTGTAAATGGACCAGAGCTTCTAGAACAGTCACAGAGAATTTCGTGCTTAGATTCTTCAGTGGTGTTTGGTCATCTGTCTGATTCTCAATCCCTTCCAATCCCAATGATTCTGGATTTCTACCCGGAAATTTGCATCTGGGCTCCAAAGAGGAAGAACATTCTCCAGCAGTGAAAGTGATATCTGGGAGTGAGTGACTGAACTGTGATTAACAGTTTAGTCTGCAATTTATTCTGCTCTGTGTAAATAGCATCTGAGAAACTATATGCCCAGCTCTTCTTTATTTTTCAGGCCCCTGGTTTTATAACACTGTACATGCTATGTCTCTGACACAAATATTATTAGTATTATAACTACAGAAGGGTTTTAAAATTTTCATATTTATTCCATATTTCTAGTTATTATACAGTATGGGAAAGTTTTTCAAGCCTTATTTATTTACTTTTAAAAAATGACTTTTTAAAACAGTCATTCAAAAATATATTCATTCATTTATAGTGGTGTGGGTCTTCCCACATCAATGAATATAATCCCACATGGTAATGTTCAGTCTTGACTTCTAGGCCATCCTAGATCCTGTCAAGTTGTCAGTCAGTATTAACCACTGCATTTCTTTATGTTTATAAGTATGTATGAGGACAGGGTGTGGTGGGTAGAGCTACACATTTGTGGTGGTTGAGTCTTATCTAACAGGACAGATGGGTCACAAGTGGGCACCAGAGTGGAATTCAGTCCCAGTGACTCTGGACCTCCTTCCTCTGTTCTTCCCTAGACAGCTGAGAGCACCATTTGAATTTCTTCTCATCTCCACTGGAATGTTCTGCTTTGATCTTCATTATCTACAATGTTCTTTTCTTCTGATCTCAATCTGATATTGAGACCACAGCCCAATCAGTTTTTTGTATTTTCCCTGGCTGTAAGCCCACTGGAACTTCTATTTCCTTCATTTTATTATACTGGCAACCCACCATGATGTGCAGAAGAAACTTCAGGATGAGATTGACAGAGCTCTGCCCAGTATGGTGAGTGGATGGTACCCAGAGAAGGCGCTCATAGGAAAAGAATTAGCAAGAACATGACTCATCAGTCTCAATAAGAATTTTTACAGCAGGCCATGCATTGGTTCTTCCACCCAACAAAAGTCTAAGATAAATAGGGGAGGGACATAGGAGATGAACGCAACCCATAGAAATACACAATCTTTAATACAGTCCTGGCTCTGATGTATCTTTTTCTGTTATTACAATAATACTAAGAGACACACAGAAAACCTAGGTGACCTTGAAAATAAGCAGCAGTCCCCCAGGTGTCTGGATAGTTATCTCTGCTGATGTCCTCAGGGTGCTGTCCCCACTATATGGTGGTAGGCTGCCTGTCACTTGTTATGGCAGGCTGGCCTGACACTCCTCTCAATGGCTCCTCTTTCCAGGCCATTAGCATGGCATTTGTGTGTGTGGGTGTGTGAGTCATCTAGGAATTTTTTTCCCTGAGGTTTTGATGGTGTATTAGACTCCTTCCTGTCTTGCAGTTAGCATGACTTTTAAAAGTTCTTTGAGTGTCAGTGCCCTCTGCTGACCATAGTATGCATTACAGTCAGTGTGCTGGACAGGTTCTCTCAGGAAGTATCCAGGTCAAACCCTGTGAGGTGGCTAATGTTCTAGCTTCAGCTATTTTGGAAAGCACCTAGATACGCAGTAGAGCGGTGCCTGCCTTTGTGCTTTCGTGAATTCCTAAGTATTAGTCACCTGCTTGTGGGATGCAGCCATGGGTCCAGTTGTGCTGTGGGGAGCATCTCATGGCTGAAGTGCAGGGAAAGGACAGCTCGGCAAGTTCCCATATCCTTGTCATCCTGTCTAGGGAGGGGTTTGTTTGGTGGTGAATAGAACTTTAGAAAAAGAGGAAGCCCAAACAGTTTGGGGAGTTTAAAGCGTCACTGAGCTCTGGCCAACAACCTAAAGAAGAAGATGGGAGGAGAAGACAGCTGTGCCTTACAAAGTCAACACTCAGAAAGGCAGCAGACCCAGCAGAGCCTCATGGTATCAGGCTGACTTGTAGGGGTCATACTGGGTACGGATAGAGGTCGGGAGGGGGCTAGTGGCCTCCTGAAAGAGAAAAGTGCATGATCAGCAGGTGAACTCACATTCCTACAGGCCTATTATAGCTGACTCCCTGACCTGCCACCCTGGAGCAGAGATTGGGTAAGTCTCTACCTAGATGGAGAGTCCTTGGTTAACCTTGACATTGTTTTTAAAATTTCCTTATTATTTCATAAGTATGGGTTTGTGGAGTCTAATCTTGGTTGTCATTTACACTACATCTCTAATGCATGCATTCAGGCACTGGTGAGGGATTTTATTGATTGGTTAACTTGAGGTGCCAAGACCCATCCTAAATCTTGCACACACCTTCTGGAGTCAGCCCACAGAAAAGAACATGGAAGAGGGAAGCTTCTGTGTTTTTGTCTATTTGTCCTCACTCTCTTCAGCAAATCCATCTCTCCTGAGGCATTCCTCACTGGTATTAGACCCTGCTTTGGGATTTCAATGCACACTGAAGTCTAGCAGCTCTCTTGGACTCACTTTGGGAGTCCTGCAACTGACAGGGACTGCTGAGACATTCAGGTTCCTAGACTGAAGAACTGCCATGTGCTTGTCCTTTACATCAGGAGACCACATGTGTAGGACTAGCTGGACCTCTGCTTGTGAACCACTAATATAAACAGCCCTTAATATATATGTTTCTGCATTTGTGGATGTAGGCTATGTGTATGCATGCGTGTCTGTGTGTGTGTCTGTATGTGTGTCTGAGTCTGTATGCATGGGTATTACTTCCAGTAGCTCTGTTCTTTGGTGAGCACTGATTAAATTGGCTGTTTGGTTTACTCTTAGTTTTCAATGAACCACATTCTGTCACTGAACAGCTCGCCAATCGGGAAAACTGTCTGACCAGTGAACTCTGGTGCCCTGCTGTCTTGTCAGGTGTCTTTGCCTTCTTTCTTCTTGCTGTGATAGAATACTGACCAAAAATAACTTCAGAAAAGCAGACATTTCTTTCAAATTGCAGATAAATGTCTACCATGAAGGGAAGCCAGGACAGAAGCTCAGAAAGAAACCTGGAGGCAGGAACAGAAGCAGAGGTCATGGAGGAACACTGCATATTGGATTGCTCCTCATGGGTTGCCCAGCTTGCTTTCTTAAACTACCCAAAATGACCATTACAGGGTGGCACCACCCACAGAGGGCTCTCTTTCCCAAACCAAGCACTGATCAAGAAAACATGCCACATATTTCCCTTCAGGCCACTCTGATGGAGGCATTTTCTCAACTAAGGTACCCTCTTCCCAGCTGACCTGACTTTGTATTGAGTTGAAGACAATGAAAGAAAGAAAGAAAAGAATGGAGGAAGGAAGAAAGAAAGATAGAAACTTCTAGCATATAGGGTAACAGATTCACTCAACCATGCCATTTTTAAAAAATGTGAATGCTAGGTTTTCATATTAGGTCCCCGTGCTTTCTCAGCAGGAAGCACATGGACCGCCATCTCCCCACCTTTGATCCGTGCTGTTTTGATTTTTTTTTTTTCTTGAGAGAGGGTTTCTCTGAGACAGGGTTTTCGTAGATGTTTGGCCTTGAACCCACAGAGACCTGCCTGCCTTCTTTGTAGAGTATTGGGATTATAGCCTTGTGCCTCCAACAACAAGTTCATTTCTTTTTTTTTAATGCCAGGTTATTTAGTTTAATTTTAGTTGATTTTCTGAAATTGTATACTTCCTTTTAAAACTGAACCCACTGATTTACATTAGCAAAAGACTTGCTGTTGAATTTGGCATAAATTTCCAGCCAATCTGGTACAAGTCTGTTTTAGATTAGAAGCCAGCCCTGTATCTCCATGCTGAGTCCCTTCTGTTCACCTGGCCCTGTCACTCAGACCTCACCAGCCAATCAGAGCCTCCAATAGACCCGCCAGTCAGATGGGAGGGCTCTTCCTGGAGTCGACTTCCTTTCAGAGATTCAGCTTCCTCACGCACTGCAGCTCGGACTGTCTTGTGGGCAGATAGCAAATCGACTTGGCAGCTGCACCATGGTGAGTCGGGGGTTGCTCTCCCCAGACGGAGGAGTGGCCGGGCTTGGCGAGCGAGGGACCGCTGTACCTAAACTAGGTGGAGCGGCCGCTGAGGCTCCCGGCCGGTGTGGTGCCGGGTGGGAGCCAGCAGACAGACACAGAATTTAGCATCTTCCTGCCTCAGTATTCCTAAACTTGCAGCTCTCTGCTGGCAGCCTCTGAATCCCTTCACTGCCCGGGCTGTGTCTGCACAGAGCAGAGCGTGGAGAGCCGCAGATGGTGGTGTCTGTCGTGCTTATATTGTCGCATGTGGAGTGAGACCAGCACATTTGCCAAACGCGGAGACTCCTGGTCTTTCCTGGGTCTTCAGAAGTTCTGCACTTTTAACATTTAGGTTTGGGATCTGTCTGTAGTTAACCTCGTGGGGCTTGTAAACGGTTTCTCCTGTGTAGAGTAGCGCTTTACTACTAAACTGTGATGTAAATGAGTATAGTTAATAATAGAATTAATGGTAAAAGGATTTAGCGGTTCTTAGGAGATATTAAGTTACACAAAGTAGAATTTAAGTGAGGGAGGGCTGCATCCCAAATATCCAAAGATGAGTAGCATGCACACCGTGCCTGTTAGAGATTAGTATCATGACATGCAAATATTTGTTCACCAGGATTGATCAGCCATTAAGCAGCATTCCTATTACAAATGAGACAACGATGATATACAACCAGCCAGAAGACCCACTTCCCCATCAAAGGCCTCTGACCTGCTACTCAGGCACCATTATGGGGTCACAACCTTGTGGTGTCTAGAGAGTATAGCAATTCCAGAACAGTTGGATTTTTCAGCTGTGAGGAAAGCAGTTGTGACTCAGTGTCCCCTGTGCTGATTGAGGTGGACTGTCTGCAGCCCCACAGGGCATTGCCCTTGCTATCCTCTTGGCTAACCATCATACATTCTTAGATTACAAGTATGCTGCTCCACCGAGCTCTAAAATTACCAGTTTGAGTCATACAGTGCGACTGTCCATTGTAGTAACAATGAAGGTATTTGCATGTGGAGCATGGCTTCTCCCTTCAGACCAGAAAGTAGAAAGGATGTACTGTGTACGCTGGAGGGGGTAAACACACTGGACGATAGCTAGATCTTAGACTGAAGTTTAAGGCCGTGGGCTGCAGGGGTGCCCATTACAAAGAAGGACACAGTGATGGGGTACAATGAATGACTTAATGTGTAATTCCCATCATACATTAATTCCTTCTTTGTGAGTGAAGACAGACACTGGTGGGTGTACAGTTTAGGAAGGAGAGCTTGAACTCCTAAGTATTTAGTTTCCTATTAGTGAACTCTCCCATGCAGATAATGTTCAATCCTGGTTGACACAGTGAAGTCAGTTCAGATGTTTGTGACACAGGCCATTGGCTGTAACTCCATTTGGCAGCTTACAGCACTCAGCAGCTAACATTTTATATGGGACAAAGTCATGCATTCTCTTATTAATGGCATTCTCCCTACCATGGAAGTGCTTACTCTGTTTTAAAGTCAGTATAACTATGTGTTCAATTATTTTTATTATTTTAAGAAGTCAATTATTGGTTATCATTTCTTAGATTTCATTTTCTTCAATGACATGACTGCTATAATCTCTTTTTTTCTATTTTCCAATGTTTCCCAATTTTTGAATTTTATTCTACTTTTTAAGTGCTGTTTATTTATTCATCTATTTATTTATATCAGTTTAGAGCAGTGATTCTCAACCTGGTGGGGCATGACTCCTTTTGGGAGATCAAATTAACCTATCACAGGACTGGCCTAAGACCACCAGAAAGTACAGATATTTATATTATCATTCCTAACAGTAGCAAAAATATAGTTATGAAGTAATAATGAACATAGTTTTATAGGTGGGGAGATCCCTACATCATGAGTAACTGTATTAAAGATTTCCAGCACTAGAAAGATTGAGAACAACCGGTTTAGATTAATGTCTCCTGTAGCTCAGGCTTGCATCATACTATGTAACTGAGAATTGCTGTGAACACCTAATCCTGCCTCTGCTACCTAGTGCTGGAAAGAGAGTTCTGCAACTCCTACCAGGCAGGACCTTTACTGGTCTGTGTGAAGGAGAAATAGATCAGTGAATGAGCATCCTCCAATTTCAGTAGATTTTGTTGTGAATTTACAAGTCAAGTATGACCCGTGTAGGAATTGAGTTCACTGACTAACTGTAAAGCCAGTGTAGTCACAACAGACAAAGGATGGGCAAGAAGAAGAGTAAAATGTTTCTTGTTGTGAGTAGTGAGGTGATCAATTTTAGATGTTCCATAAATGTCCTGTTTGGACATTTGATGGGTCCACAGACCACACACAGGACCCAGTCAGTGCCTTGGAGGAGAAACAGGACGTGCTCTGGGAGAATGGAAGATTTTATTAAACTACAAATTTCCAAGATCACGGTCTTGTCTGACTATAGTGTGGAAGGACAAACCTGGAGGATGTTTGCTTTTTGAGACATTCAATCTCTGCTCACCCAGTAGGGTAACTGCTAATGTCTTGAAGCCCAACTGGGTGGTCCAAGAGGGACTCTGGTTGGCAATTAGGAGCAGCAGAGATAGTTTCCAGGTTCTTTCCAGGATTCTCTTGTTCTGCTCTCGGGAGCTGTAAGAAGGACCACAAGCCATGCCATGGTGAATGTAGGAGTTCCCCAGACCAGGAAGAGCAGGTTGGCTGAGGTGTCAGAGCTGCTTGGACAGGGATGATCTATGATCCATACAGGTTCTATTGTTCTTTGTGGTTACCTGGGTGTGGCCTTTGGCCTCTGAGCTTTGTTGAGAGTGTGGGAGACTATGAGCTTGTAATATTGTTGCCTCACACTATGTAGTTGAGAATTGCTTTGAAAACCTATTCCTGTCTCTGCTGCCTAGTGCTGGGTAGATAATCCTTCAACTTCTTCAGGACTGGGCCTTGACTGGCTAGTGAGAAGGAAAAATAAACCAGGTGGTGAGTGACCTCCAGTCTCTCTGACTTTCAGTGTATGATTGTAGATGAAGAGGGTGAGTACATAGGTCAAGCTTGAAGCTAGTAGATTCACAGTGCAGTGAGGGAGAGACAGGTCAGTGGCTGAGAACTTTCCTACATCAACAATATTGAGATTAGCATTACAGAACCAGGTAATCAATTTTAGGTGCTCCTCAAATGTCCTGATGATCATTTTTTGATGTCTACAGACTGGGCAATAAAGAATCTGGATAAAGAACTGAATTTATCATGAAACCAAATAGCTATAGTTACAGTAGTTCAGCCAAAAGAGATCTGAGTAAAATGTGGCCCTGCCTAACAGGACTGTTATTTTACTGGTTTTAAATATACACCCTGAGATAAAAGGTTTGAAAAATCTTTGATGTGCTCTAATATAAATCCCTTGTTTCTGAAGCACATGGCCATATATCCTGTTTCAACTTTCCAAAATTATTTTTTGAGATCATAACTATATCATATCCACATTCTCTTTCCTGTCCCAATGATGTAGGTAGGCCTTCTGTCTATGTTATTTTCATTGGTCAATAAAGACACTGCCTTGGCCCTTTGATAGGACAGAAAATTAAGTAGGCGGAGTAAACAGAACAGAATGGTGGGAAGAGGGCAATGAGGCAGATGCCATGGAGCCAGCCCCCAGGTCAGACATGCTGAATCTTTTCCCGTAAGCTGCCACCTCGTGGTGCTACACAGATTATTAGAAATGGGTTAATCAAGATGTGAGAGTTAGCCAGTAACTGACTCTCGAGAGATAATGGGCCAGGCAGTGTTTAAATGAATATAATTTGTGTGTTGTTATTTCCGGGGCTAGGCCAGCCATGCAGGAGCTGGGCAGGATGAAAAGCAGGCCTGCCCACAGCTCTTCCTTCTACATCCCAAGTCTTACCATGACCCCTTAATATCTTCTAATCCGTGGCCCATTTTTCTTTAACAACAGTTGTAATTGTGACTTGTGTTTGGCTGCAGGATTTCCCAGGTATGAGGCGATGGGTTTGCTGCACTGCACATTGAGTGTGTAAAGGAATGTGCATACAAAGGACCATGTGCTTTGGATGAGGAACAGGGTATGCTCTAGGATATTGGCTGAATGTGT